CGTGTCACTGAGGCCATTCTGGGGCATATTTGGTTTCCCATGAGAATGTGGCAGTTTGTGGTGTATCCATTTAATATTTAGGTATCCTCTTGCTCCGTCACGCTGGGTGTGAGCTTAATTACATATTGCTCATTAGAATTTTCCAGCTCAGTGCAGTGAGTAGCCGCGGCTGCTGCGTTATCGTGCATTTGCAGCAGTGAGATTTCTTTGCCATCACATATGGTAGTATTATACACTGCAGCACAGCATAGGGTGAGGTTCAATGTATTATGTAAAACTCAGGATAATCCGAATCTCTCTCGGATGTACTCCTCTTGCAGTGGTTTTTAGGAGGAAAATAGCGATTTTTTCAGGTGAGCCCCAGGGCAATAGCAGATGTCACTGGTCTATGAAACAGGTAGGAGATAAAGGCTGGAACTGAGTGGATCTGGTCATCCCCTTCCCTCGCCTTCATTATTTGGGAGTCCCAGGGTAAATGTGGAGCCGGGTCTGTGCCCATCTTTGCCCCCTCGGAATTAAATCCCCGTGGAAGGCAATATTCAGCCCCGTGAATATCAATATTCAGCAGAAATCAGCTGGAGCTCAAAACGGCTTGATAAAATTATTCCTTATGTTTTCAAGTATATCTGGGTCAGTTGATGCCCCATCACCTGGGACATCAGCTAGATAAGCTGTATAAAACACTGAAACTGGGGTTCTTCTGCAAGCCCGGAGCTTGGGCCGCACTGCCCCGCTTTGCTCGCTTGCTTTTCACGAGGACAGATTCATTTAGCATGATTTGATTGCCAGTGCTCTCCAGTGCTTTATTTATTTAGATATTCCCTGGGGAACAAAAGAAATATGTAGCTAACACAAACACATATTTTGCTGGCACAAGTGGACTGAACTCCATTTAAAATATGTTTATTTTCCCCCCATCTTCTTGCAGCAGGTCTCTGGCCTGCGTAAACTGGGAGAGCTGCCCTTAAGGCAATAGAAGTGCACTGAAATAACACAAAACTAGTTGGGACCCTTCCTGTTATTAATGTGAAACTTAAATTTTCTGTGGACCAGAGCGCTGTCATGCATGCTCGGAGCCGAATCCGACTGCTTTTCCGACGGCTGCTTCCTCAAGCATCAGCAATTCCGCAGCTGAGCGCTTCCCTCTGCACGGGTGCCGATTTGTCAGAACTGAAGGGTTTGACAAAAATGTGTCAATTTGGCTCAAAGTTGGGTTTGAGCAAGACGCTGAGGGAAGGAGGCAGCTTTCCTTCCTGGCAGGGTAAAGCTGCAGCAGGATCCTGGGAAAAAGCGATAAGAGAGGATGTGGGAAGGAGCGTTCATCCCGGCCGGCTTTTCTCCAAAGCAGCCCTCCTCGTCTTTTCTTCCCCTTGGAAATCCTGTATTCGTGGAACGTTGTTCCATCTCTCACCCTTGTCCTTGCCTCCCTGCAACAGTCGGGAAGGAATATCCCAGAGGGGCAGCACTGAAAATATAAGGACTTAAAAACACTATTGGTGTGTGGGAATGGCTGGTTTCGCAGCGCCAGCGCAGAGGGGCACTGCGAGGCGCGTGCGGCCCGGCCTGTTCCCCCATTGCATCGTGCGAGCAGAGGGGAAGGATTTAGCCCTTTTTGGCCCCGTTTTCCTGTTTAAAAGCACGGACTCGCAGCGGGCAGCGCGCTTGGGAGGTCACAGGGCTCTGTTCCCCCTGTTTCTCCGTATCCGCAGGGCGGCGGGTCGCCGCGGGACCCCGATCCCGCGGGATCGCGAGGCTCTGCCCCGCGGCGTCGCCCCCGC